TGGATAGACCAATACAATATGTTTGATTCATCAAAAGTGGGTGCAGTCAGTTGACGAAAACGCCAGTCTCAACTGCGGTAGAATCACGGTGGAAAATATCCTCAAAGTTCGCCGAGGACCTCAGAAAGTGTGTTAAAATTACGCCCATTGTATGTAACCTGTTTAATATATTTGTTGACAGTTCATTGCCACCAGCTGTTATGAGAGAAGGCTAAACTGGTACAATTTAGTCAGTACCTGTGGGCGTTTTTCTTGAGTCCTTCTGAGCGACAGTTGCTAGCGAGATACAAGAAAGAAAGCATCCTTGTACTGTTCACGATGTGATACAGTTTTTACAAAAGAGGTAGCTGCTGACCTGCTACTGTTGGTTCACTTCGTCTAATTTGAATTCGCTTGCTATGCCCTAATCCATGTGCACAAAAGCGACTAGTCCAGGCTCTCCAGCTGCCCTGGCCCAAACCGGAAACCACGGATCGCCGACCGAACCCCGAAAGTCCACTATCGATTACCACTCGTGACGGTGGGAGTGAAACTCTCACCACAACACGCACACGATAGAGACACCCCTCCCCACCAACCCCGTTTTTTCTAACGCCACGACAATGACCTTTACTCCGGCCAATGGCTAACGCATTCCAATGTTACCTCACCCATATGAACTGTAAGAGTACGTACAGGATTCATTGAAAACAATTGTTCGCTCTCCAGCGTCTTGTTCTTAATGAGTTGAAAACGTTTCATAGTACGATCACCTTGTCGGAGATAGAAGGTTCATGCCCAAAGAAACTCACTGGAAAGGAAACAGAAGAGATGCATTACATCGGAATCTCTCAATAAAAGATTATTTCCAATACTATTATTTATTGTTAGAAGTGCTTCCTCGTCAAACCTTCTACGAAGTGAGGATGCAAAAAGTACTACAAGTTTACCTGCAGTAGTTCCGGGCTGAATACCTATTGCGAAATTTGCTCCTCAACCGCGTAAATATCGGAGTTCATTCTCTCGAGTCAGCTTTATCTACTCCGGAATACCTAATTTCAGTCAGTAATGATGCTTCTAATTTTGACGGAGACAGTCGCATCATTAGTCTGGTATTATTTGACGAAGTTTACTAGTCTCCATAGTACTCTTCTCCGCTACTTTTTATAGTTTCTTTTGTTAAAAAAACTCTTTCGTCTCCAAATTTATTCTTCAGTCTTCTGGGTTGTCATGCTATCCCACTGTTTTTCTCTTCTAATGGCACTGACAGAAAATATGTCAACAATGCTGGTTTTTGATTCCCCTGTGCTTAAAACGTAAATGTTAAACAAGACAAAACAATTTGAACATTTATTGGCGGCACCCTCCAAGCTCATCCCCACTCAGTGTTCTCAGACGTGTTTTCCCCTTTATTCTGTCAGTCACACTACACTATCCTCTACTAAGCCGTGCCTGGCTTAAGTGGTTTCTTTTCCGTAGCTTGAAATTATGTTAGCTCACAGCCTTCATGATACCGATTATGCTGAAAAGTTGATTACCGAACTCCGTGAACTTTTAATTTTGTCCGAAAACTCTCACAAAGCACGTGCGGTTTTATTTTTGTCAATCAGAATTTGTAAACCTGAGGTCACCTTTGATCCTGTAGTTCTGTGTGTCACCTCTTGCACCACTATCACTGAGTCTAATTCCCTCCCGTAGTCTTCCCTGGTTTGAGAGAAAAAAATCTCTACTTCATCACCAAGTCTCGTAAACTGCTATCTCACCTTGTCAGTTCGATCGACGAAACCCCTGCAGATCTTATCACTCAAGAAACTTGAACGCATGTGGCACCATATTTTTTACAGCTTTATCCCCCTCTCTCACTTCGGTTAGAATTCCAAACCCTTTCCAAGCGCATATCTAAGCATATAAGAAAATCATCACTCTGTGTTTTTTGCTTTCTTGTGAACTGTAATACGGTAGTTACGTTCTCGTTGGCTTTTGCTATTCGTCGGAATTCACATTCCTGCCCACTTCCATCTCATCCCCAGTTCTGTCGTATTCTAAGCAATTTATGCTTCCGTTGCCTGTGGAATCAGCCGAGCGGTACAAAGATGTTGAAAATTCACTCTTTATCGGATGTAGAAAATTGGAGCATCTAGTTGACTAGACTTAAAAGCATGAAAATATAGTCTAGATGATAAGTAAACACATTTAATATCAGTTAACCGATTTTTCACTAAAAATCGATCTATCAGATTTTTTATCTTATCTTGTCTCCTCTAAACTGTTATCAACATTACGAAAAATTCATTCTACCGTAGAGGAGGAAAGAAGGAGTGGGAGGGGGGGGGGTGGAAAGATAAAATTCAGTTTGTGGTGAATCTAAATTCTCTCTTGCTCACTCAGTCACTCGCTCACTCAGACAGACAACAACTTCAACTCTCGAGCTACTTCAGCTCGTTAAGAGGGGACATCGGCGACTATATTTAATTAGTGCAATACTCGACACCTAGTATATCACGACTGAACGAGGTTTGAAGTGTATTGAGTGTATCGGCACATATATCCGATACAGACTAATCAACCAGCAACTAAGATTTGATTCGCTCACCCAACTAGATAGTTGGGTTGTCAGCTTTTCATTTTCAGTTTAACTGACTGCATCAGCCCTAATATAGGTTTAGCCATACTGTCAAGTCAAAATTTTGACCGCGGCGACGCGCCCCACTCTTCCGCTGAATTACTCGGTGACCGCAAAACAGGTACTCATGTGATCTGGTTTTTCGTCGTGAGAATCGATAAGTCTAATTCGTACTCTATTGCCAGTTATTCACTGTAGTCAGCTGCATGTTTGACCCCAACCACGTAACTATCCGATCATCATGGAGCGATGCTCAGACGCATTGCGACCGCGGACATGAACCGGGTAGGTAGGGCATCGCGCTGGATTTTGTTAGCCCGATCAGGTAGTTGAATGGTAGTCACTACTTTCATAATACCATTTATGGAAACCTCACCTGTATGGCTTAGAGATGCAATGCATTTTTATTTATAGAAATTCCAGATTAGCGAAGGTTACATACTTTAATTAGGAGAACAGAAGGAAATATGACGTCATAATGATTTACTAATGGCTTCCTCCGTGACTGTTCGGCTAGAGATTTGGATGGTTGTACAAAACTTCATTTACGTTTTATTTCTCTACTTAAAGGGGACAACCTTTGGAACTTGAGCTTCCTTTGAGTATCACATCAATTTCTTATGCGTCAACCTTTTGTTTTAGTCAGTACAACAAAAGGGGATCACAGGAGCCACCAACCAAATCCAAGTATACTGAGGTCGATCACCGCTGAAGTGGTATTTCCCCATAGTAATTTAGACTCAGTTCCGCTGTCACTGAAGGTTGTGGATGTTTTTCTTGCTAATATCTTGCTGATTACTCTCTGACAACAATATCGTCGCCCAGCTGAGTTTCGTTGTACGACGTGCATCACAAAAGCATATGGAAGTCTTTTGATTGAGTGAAATATCAACTGTCCGTGCCGACCTAGCTACCAAAGAAATTCGGATCACTTATGCGTCCGGTGTTCAGAAATCTCTTTGTGAAGGTTGTCTGACGACTCTGCAACAATTAATATCTCCGTAGTTCAATAGGAAGGGATTTATGAGGTTAACGGAGCCACAGGTTTTTTCTTCTTATATTAAAGCGATGCTTTGCCTCATGATGAAGGCCCATTGGATCGTGTCCGGCAAAGTTGCAAAGATGTTCAAAATGAAGACATTGAAAACAGGCAAGAAGAAGGACTAAAGGAGTAAACTCCAAGTTCTTCCCGACTCTGGTATCCTGTCTAAAGTTCCATCTTGAATTCGTTTATAAATGATATGAATCAGTTCAGTACACTCGTCTTCTCCACCACTAGCGGTCACTGTTCAAAAATCAAGATCCACACCGTGCACGGTTAGTTGCTCCCAGGGAACTTGCAAAGTATACTATTTCTAAGGAGACGGCACTGGTGGCAAGTACGTACCATGGGTTTTTAGAGGACAGAATGTTTTCGTGGTCCGATTTAGTGGAACCGATTTGATCGGTAGTGCTCGAGTGTTCATCAAAGCGGTCTTTGAATCTTTCAGCCCCGTGTCAGAGTCTTACCACCGCAGAAATCTTTCTCGTTGGAAAAAATCAGTTAGACGCTGCCGTCTTCCGAAATATTCTATCGTTGATATTTACTAAAAAAAAGAATTAAATAGTCACTTATAAAACACAACGACGCCTAATTTGAATAAAATGTGTGACATTTCCTAACAAATAAACAAAACCTCGTTCAACTCGTCAAACGAAACTCGTTTGTATATTTCATCAAATTCAGGCATTCGGAATTAGTGTTATGGAAACCCTAAGCAGGAATTTTACGAGAAAAGAACAAGGAATAAATTGAATAATTGTACAAACACTGGCCAGTAGTATGCACAGATCACGACACAGTTTGACAAGGTAGTGGTGTTCTTTGGAAGTAATACACGAAAACACAAAAGAATAAAAAATAAAAAATAACAGCAAAATATGGAGGGGAGGGTAGGGGGATGATATTGAAACTAACCAGTAGTGAATTTTCGTCTTTGTTTTCTTATGTTGCCGACAGACGATAGACATTGGATAAATGCTTTTTGTTATTGAACGAATGAAGACGAATTTAGTGGTACAAAAAATACGGACCAGTTCAACTGATTCATAGAAACATAGAAAATGATTCCATTGAATATCGCTTTGGGATGGACATGGAAAATTGTTGATAAAACGCCGTAGTGTTAGTGGTGTATGTATAGCTTAAAAATATCTTGTGGAAGAGTTTCATAACACTTGGATGACACATGTAACATAGAACTGTATTAACTGGCTTGCGCTATGGCTGACATAAAACCGGGTAGACCATGTGAATTCCCACCGGAACAGGCCCGCCTGTCAGACGATAGGATTTGTCAAGGATGAAAACCATATTCTGGTATTCATTACAAGAAATCCGTCATGATGGCTATGGTGTTTATGACTTTGGAAAGTTTGCGACAGAGCTGTTTTGTCTTCCCCTGGTTCCTTGATTTACAGCACCAATATCCATTGGGACTTGGGACAAACTTTGTCGCGTTTTCTTCGGCACATGAGCAGCGGGAAGCATAGAACCTACACTTAAGGCTCGATTACGCGCTTGCTGTTTACGGATCTCTTCCAAAGCCACTATTCGTCCGATATGAGTAAAATCATCTATATCCGAGGACTCATCAAATCCGAGGGTGTATAGCCCACCGAAAGCTGAATCTTCCGCTGTTGGTTGTGTTTTTGTCCCTCGTGTAACCGATGGTTTGGTCCGCCTCCATTTGTTCAAAGATTCTGGTGGTTCCCGATGACTCAGACGACGAATAGTCTGACGAAGACGAGACCCTCCAACAGAGCTACCCTGATCTTCACGATTTCCGTCTTTTCGGCGAAGCATGAATCCAGGATAGAAGCTCTTTCTCCGTCTTAACTCTCTCCGACTAGTTGAACGTTGAAACGTCTTATCTTCCATAGATTTCACAGGTGCTTCTGTTGCTGTGGTAATTGTTCCACTGGATCTTGGTATGTTTACACTTGTCACCTCGACACTTGGCTTAGTTTGCGCATCAACTGGTACTATCTGCTCTTGTTCTACATTCACAAACGGATTGGAAAATATTCGTGAATTATCTTCGGACTTCGATTCAACTGAAGTGAAATAGTAATCTGTGCCGGCCCTGGTTTCCTCGCTCTCTTCATCCGCAAAAGGAATTTCTGACAGTTCGCCAAAACTAAATAATTCAGCCGGCGGTGAACGCTCACAAACCTCTGGTCCAAGCCAAATGTTTGACCACTGATTTAGTAGGACATTGGAATGATCAGAATGTGCTTGCGATTGGGGGGAAAACAAGGCTGAACTATCGTTGGGCCCCTCGATGTTAGAAGTTTCATACGCATGAACATTAATTTGAACCACTTCTCGATGGTTTGACGGACTGCTGCTCTGATTCATTCCCTGTTCGAACGAAGTCGAATCAGACTGTTCCTGTAGAGTGATCAGTTCAGTTTTTATCTGGTACACGTCGGAAGGTGCCTGCGGTAACACCTTCGTTGGACAGAACAAAGTGATAACCGGGTTCTCAGACTCTGTCTCCGATTCGGGACACGTGTGCGAGTATTGAGACTGTTCTTCAGAGATTGGAATGCCACAGTTTGCGGTTAATTCACTGTCTAGGCAAAAATTCCCCGAATCTATAGATTTTCCACGGAAGCCAACTGGCATTGTGAGGGGAACAAGAAGGTTATTCCCGACTGCTTTGTTGTTCTGTGCATTTCCAAAATTTATCATAGGACTTGTCGGTTCCAAACGCGTTGCAGAAGCCTGATCACCCGGCCGTAGAAATGAACCTCTTGGTGTTGGAGTAAAGCCCGAGGATGGCAGGAGGCTTGTTTGCTTTGTTGACGGATCCAAATAGCTAAGTGTTCCCATGGATGAACCACTTAGTCGCGATGAGTAACGTCGACCGAAACGCTTATATGATGAGCACTGATGACATTCTTTGTCTCGACGACTCTGTGCTAGTAGGTTTTCTTCTGCTGCGTTCTCAAGACAAGCATCAAATTCAGCCAGCTGAGCTACAACGTTAGGAGCCATGTTTTCCGCAGAACATTTGGATCCCTTCTGACGACCAGATCCGGACTGCGAGGTGCGTGACCCTGTGCCACTTCGACCCGCGGTGGCAGCGCATCGTTCACAACTTTCAGCATTTTTCTGCGAATCACGATGAGAAGTTTCCCGGTGAGATCCACGTTGGCTGTTTCCATTCATCATTGCAGAACTCAAAAAAGACAGATGATCTTGTTTTTTCCCTTGGAAAAGTATCGATCGACTAAATACAAAATTGCATCTGCAGAGGTTTCCGCAACAATAACACACCTGAACAACTGTATCACTCTGTCTGTTGATGTGATTCGAGTTCAGCGCTCCATCAGTCGAATGTACGTCTGCGCGATCGCCCACATTTACATTATGCATACGAGATAAACGTTTGTTTCGTTGTCGACGAGCATTCCACTCTCGGATTTTCTTCCCCCATCGCATAGCACGGGTCAACTTGACCCAGTACATTTTAGATAGAGTGGTCGCAAATTTGTTCAGCCAACCGTATAACCACGGATTAATACAGCCAGAGGCCATAGCGACTAATTTCAAGATTAGGTCAATCAACTTGATCTTTTCCTCATGACTCTCTGATACCAGCATAGAGAACAAGTCCGGATTGGCTACTGGTACACCTCCAGTCAAAGTGGCCATAGAAGAGGCATCCAGTTGAGAAGTTGCCGACCCTGGATAGGTTGTATTCAAGGCCAGCAGCCCTGCTCTGTTTGTTTCGCGATCCAAATAGGATTTGGCTTTGTGACTTACAATTAGCTTGACCCATTCAAAACTGTTCATTTCTTCGCTGGTTGTGGGATAATTTAGTCCGGGAATATTCACTGCCCCTGAAGAGGCGTTAGGTATCAGAGGATTCTGACTTAATTTTTTTAACTCACCTGCAGTACTGAGAGCACCGGTTTGCCACAGAAAAGCATGTACTTCTACCCAAAGAGAGAAACAACACCAAGGTGTCCAGCACACAGCAAAGCAGACCACTATCCGGACGAGAATTTTGTTTGTACGACGTTTACGTTCAACTGAGCTTCGTCGAAAGCGGCTTTCATGCAGACGGAAAAAGATATGGCCGTACAACCCCATAGTCAAACAAAGGGGAATAAGAAAATGCACAAGGAATGTCACAAGTGAATAAATCAAACGGCCGGTCTCATTAGGCCACATTTCCACGCAATACGTGTGCACTTGGCTGTCTGTGTAGGTGTGATTGTCCATATACGGTACGGTTGATTGAGGTGGTATCACAGCCTGACTGACTGTGTTATACAGGGCAATTGGGAGGCTATTCAGAGTGCTTAGTAGACAAATGAGGGCAATGAGGACTTGAGCAAGTCGGGTAGACATTCGCGGATACAAGGGGTAGATAATGATCTGATATCGATCACAGGCAATCATCAGAATGGTTAGACAAGAAACGTGCATAGGTATACCAAAAATGGTGAATACAACTTTGCACGCTGTCGAATTTATGTCATTGGTCTCCTTCAGCTCGTAATACGCCTGTAAAGGCATGTTAAATCCGCAAAGTGTCACATCCGATATGGCTAAAACGAGAACGAATATGTTGGTGATGTTGGCTAATGCTCTGCGACGTCTAATCAACAGAATATAGACTACTGTTAAATTGGATATTACTCCTATCGCAGCTAGCAGAGTGTAAACGGTGGCTAAACATGTTTTGATCCAGGAAATGCGATGTGTTGCAAAATCAGAACGTCCGTAGCCAGCGTGTAACATAATCCACTGAGCGTGAATCGGATTTACCACTGTCTGTCCGAGATTCGATTCAGCACGGTTTGGTTTTTGACCGGTGATCCAGTGGTGCAGAACATCTACTGGTGGAACGTAAAGTTTCGGTTCACGTGAATTGCTCGTCACATGGTCGGTTACGTTTGATATGGTCCGGTTCGCAATCCTGGTTGCAGGTGATGCACTGACAAACACTGGTGACTGAAATGCCATAGTTATTCCAACCAGGATATTTAGCAACTGCACACCGGTCCACGAAGAACGTAAGGGACCCATTCAGTCTGAAAAAACGCAAACGACACAAAAGTCATTTTAAGTAAAATTAGGGTGGGGTCTGGTTAGATTAGATTAGACTGGACTAGAAAATTTATGTATTTATCAACAGAGCTCACCGAAGCAGCATGGTTCACGAATAAACCTAAACGTTTAATAACTTTGGAGAAGGTATAAATTAAACAAGGATAATATGATTCCCAATAAGTCTGATCAGACTGTATGGAAATTTCAAATATGCCTTTGCTTTTGACCATTATCATTGTGAGGGAAAGAGCCCAGCTTATTGTCAATGAACGGCTTGGTTCAGCGGTCAGGCAGCATGCCATCGCGTTTCCGGAGTCCAGCGCAAGGTCGGAGGCAAAGATCGGTTGAACAGAATCGCCAGCAAGAGTGGAGCCAGTCGTGAGATCAGTGGACCAATCAGCTGTTAACACTCGTCTGGACCGACCAGAGCCTAGTCAACCAACCCGGGTGCGAACAGACAAACCAGCTAGACGGGCCGTTTAGGTCTATCAGTAGATTACCAAGCTTTTACGCATCGTTTTGGTTATGGTCATCACATATCTTATATAAACGACATATTTTGTACAACAAAATGAGATTGTTCGAAGACAGAAGAGTCTTCTTACTAGAGCTAACGGGACGGATCAGAACGATTAAGTTCCTACTTGGCGAAGATTCAGGTATTACAGGTAATGTGAACTACGATACATTCAAAAATCTACTCAAATGTACAGTTCTAGCATATTGACTGAATTGGGATATATTAGAGTACAAGGTAAAGACCCTAATTCAAAATTCCCTCCCATTTATGCTGGTTCTTTACCGCGCTTTGTACAGTTAAACGGGTGCTACCTTGGTTGCTAAAGTTAAGTGCTCCAAACAACGTAAGGTAAGAGTCACGGAGGTTTGAAAATATAATTAAATTGATAAACAAAATAAGAAATTATCCCAAGTTATATTTAGGGTGGTAGAAGCCGTTTATCCGCCCATTTAGATTTTATGATTGCTCCTATACGAGAAAATAAATAGGTTCTTCCTGACCTGATATGAAGTTGAAAAATATTTTTCACCGAAGAAGGGAATTCCAGTTTGCGTCAGCGTGCACTTTGACTTTACCGTCTCATTGCTTACAAATTTATCGCGATAACAGAGAAAAGAGATATTAAAACTAAAAGTTCTCATAACCTGCGTAACCTGTAGCGAAGTCAAATTGCAAAGTTTAACAAATTATGATTTTTCGTAGCGGAACTTTTCCAGTATTTCTAGGCGGATATGAACACCACTTATCGGATTATTTACAGAAAAAGTCCAACAAATATACCTTTCAAAGGTAGAAAACCCATCATATTGAATGAAAAAAATATTTTCATGCGCACTACATTAAAAAGTCTCGTAAGTCTCTGTCCTTAATCCAACGTGAGAATATTCCAGGGATTTCTCGCTCCCTGTAGCACATGAGAATAAGGGAATTTGAAATACAGCTAGTATTAGCTGACGTGAAACCTGCATTGGATGTCCAACAGAAGAGTACACATTCTGGTTTCCTCGGGGGATTCAAATCGCGGAGCCTCTCCTTTTATCGATTGGTTAATTTTACAGACGAGTGTTTAGTATGTGACGGGTGATGGAAAGGTTGAAGAAGTCATTTGTGGCAAGAAATCCACCCGACGAAGTATCCCACCGACCACCGAAATATAACAGCGATCAATATTAGCCATCTGGGTAGAAGCAGATCATGTTTATTTTTCACCGGTTAGAAGGACTTCAAATAGTGAGAGAATCTTCACCACTGAGACTGCAAATTTCCCCGAATTCAAAGAAAGGATGTCAGCTTCGTGGGTAATGGTTTCTCAAAATAATGTTCTTTGGCGTGTTTCATTGGTGGTTTTGAAATATATTTACACAAAACGATTTTTCACCCCGTTATTCACTTTAGGACTCGTGAAAATATGCTCAGCTTCTAGGTTCAGTTCGAGGAATTACCCTTTGTTAGTTCAGATTTCAAAGTAACCGAAATCGTTTCAACTGTTTTGAAGAGAAAAGTTAGTGGGTAAATACGCACTGGCCATTGGAGTCAAAAGTGGAAAATGTGATGGAGCATAGTATAGAAAAGTATTTCCTAACTAAAATGGTGGACACTGTACTGAAGATATTGTGGAAATTGCTGAAGAGTTAGGACAGATCCATTGATGATTGATATGTACAAACTTTGTGTTTCTAATACTGTTTGGGTTACCACAGAGTCCGTAAATCTTGTTTCGTTTTCCATCAGAGAATCATATTATATCGTGGTTATGGTCAACCGCTGGTGGGATAAATAGGGTTTCGTCTAAATTCCGCACAAATACACTCAACGCATCAAAGCAAACCACAAGGGTTAATGTCCCAGAGCCTTGCCACTACTGGCTGGTTATCGTAGATACAGAATTTTGTGGCTAGGCGTCAATGCTGCTGTAATAGCCTCCCAGTTCAACTAGTAAAATTCCCAGTCGGAACCAAATTTGGGTTCAACTATCCGTACTTGCCATGTGTACGTCTCAACCTAGTCCTAAAAGCCATCTTTAAAGTTGTTACCACCGATTTGTATTTGCCCTTGACTCACTAACGTGGGTCAAGTAGATTGCACTCATATCCAACTCGCCTCCATTCCTGAGTGCTTATTTGTTGATCTACCTCCTTTGTGTCACACGTTTTCTTATCTTGTTTCCCCCATCGTGTGCATCTTCAACCGTACCTATGCTTCACCCCTTGTTGGTCTCATCTCACTTTGCTTCCTAATAACCTATGGTTCCTAACCCGTCATTGTTTGCACCTCTTTTGGTCCTGCTGTGTCCTCTCGTTCACTGATTATCTGGTTTCCCGAGTTCTTGCCCGTCGAATCAGACTCATCTGTTGCCATGACATTCTGATCAGATCGGCGCACCTTTACTTGCCTCCGTTTTTGACCCGTTCGTGGGCCTTATCTTGTTGTGTTGCCTATCAACTCCCCTGTTTTCCGTGCCATCTACGTTGTCTTTTAGTGTCCATGCTTTCGAAACCATGATTCATACCTCCCGTGTCTTCTGTTCAATGAGCCGTTGTATTGTTCGTTTGTCAGGGCCACCCTCGCTCTTAATGTGTCAGAACCGAGATCGGTTCGGAGTGTGTCGAAAAATCGATGCCCCAAGTAAAATGTTTCGGTAGAATTTTATTGTTCAATAACACAGCGTAGTCGAAATGGTTGGTAGGTTGTCGACATTTCGGTCACCACGGGTAATGTTTTTCAAGACTGGATTTTACAACCGGTTGTAAAACCAGTCTTGAAAAACAAAACCCGTGGTGACCGAAATGTCGACAACCCACCAACCATTTCGACTACGCTGTGTTATTGAACAATAAAATTCTACCAAAACGCCCTCGCTCTCCCTGCCTTATCTACGTCCCGGACTTGAACCACCATTTGACACTGCCACGGACTCCGGACCATGGTCATTCTATCTCATAATTGTCTGCCCTTTAGTTGATTATTTGACTTTGCCCTCGACCCTGTCTGCGTGAGCTTGCTATCCCTTCTGATGAGTGATCTTCATTCACAGGTCGATACATTGTGGTCCGATTGCCCACAATTTGAGGTATGCATTCATTAATTATTGATCGTGATTCACTATGCAGTACACGTAGATTACGCACTCGTCTTATTTGACGTTGCTTTTCGGGGTTCGCTTGTTACGAGTCACTCAACCACTGAACGGCTCAACTTTGCACCTGTCATGTACGAGCGCTAGCAGTGTTTACCAGAAGCTCGTATGTGAGAGTTCCGAAAATCCCTGTATATACGATAGTGTACACGCGTGTTGAATTGATCTGAATGTTAGATATCGCCGGCACAGATTGAATTCAAAATCATATACATACCACCTATACCGCAGTACCGTATGCACCCTGTGAACTGAAGCAGGATACCAGAATGAAGGCTTCGGACATTTTCTAAAATGTATCGTAACATTTACCAACAAACGATTACACGGTCACCACAGTGTAAGTGTTATCTGACCAAGCCGGGGATCATTTCGGAACGCAACAACTGGAATCCATTGAATGAGTGCGCAGGACTGGTTTGAAGTATTTTACGAATGCTTTATTGACCATATATTGGAGCTGCTTCCGATTGACCTGTTTGTTTCGAGGGCTGCTATACGTTCCATGAGTCAATATTATTATGATAAGTAAACGGTATGGTTGTATATTACGAAATATCCAGAGCCTTTGGTGTAAAGTTGTAACTCAGATGTACACGTGGTACTTGAAAAACCTTGGGCTGCTTTCGTGGGTAGATTCGAATCTTGCTATGAATAACGTCGTATAACGTTTGCATGAGCTCCACACCTACTTATTGATTTGTCTTGTGGTATAACCGCTCAAATAATCATTGAAAATCATGAAGGCACATTGTGGGGTATTTTCATTCTTGTTAGGATTCATCACCAGTAAACATCCACCGACACCAGACTAAGATTCAATGCCGGTCTAATTCTACTCGCCTCTTATCCAGCTGCAATTCTGTCTGAACAATCACCTTTTGATTTGCATATTCCAATTAGAAATTTCCACCAGATCCTACTGTCACTCGACCAATATCGAGTACCTGGACTGAATGGCAATCCATCTCCACCACCCTGAAAATGTATGCTCTGAAGTTAGCACCTTCATTACGCAGCTTCTGCTTTACTCTCTAATCCTGTTACTTTCCAATCCCGTGGGAAGAAGCCCCGTTTGTGCATTCGTAAAGACAGTTACCTCTCCACTCCAAAACCTACAATCAGTTAGAAAGTTAGGAAGACAAAATATTTGAACGGCTGCACCCGTTCCTTGAACACAAATCCGATTCCAGTTCGACCAATGAACAGATGATCTAACGGCTCTTGTCTCATACTACTGTTTACCAGCGCTTTACA